GTTGAGCTGCTCTTCGAAGCAGCACTCCTCGCAAAGGCTGCCGCTGGCCGTTGTCGTGGAAGCCGAGCCGCTGCAGCACTTGTACACAATATCCTCCTCGACGCTCCAGGCATTGTCGTAGTCCTGATCCTGACCACTGCCGCTCGCACCGCCGCCCGCAGCGCCGGCGGCGTTCAGCTCGCCGCCCAGCGAGACGCAGCACTGTTCGTTCAGCTCCCGGATGCTCTCGTTGGTCAGCTGATCAAGATCGCTGCGGCGATGCAGCTGCAGTTGCTGCTGCTGCTGGTGATGGTGCACCTGGGCGGCAGTGGTGCCCGTTATGTGCGCGATTTCCGCATCGTCCGAGTCCGTGTAGAGCAGCTCGTGCTCCTCGCCGCTGTCCGCATCGGTCAGATTGTTGAGTGAGTCCAGCGAGGCGCACTTGTTGCAGCTCTGCTCGCGATGATCCTGACATCTCTCCTCCTGGCCTGATCCCTCGACCCTGCTGCCCTGCTGTCCCTGCTGCTGTAGGAGCTTAAAGTTGTTGACCTTGTCGTGGTGCATCTTGTGGATGAGCGACTCCACCTTGTTCACAATGCTGCTGAACTTGTGCGGCACACTGCCACCCGGCGTCAGCTGTTCATGCTTCGAGCTGCCGCAATTGGCTGTGGGCGTGGCCTGGCAGGACTTGCTGCTGCGGACACTGTGCGACATGTTGCCACGGATTGCCGTATATTGCGATTCCGGCGGCGGCGGCGGCGACGGCGACGGCGACGGCGACGGCGCGTGCCAGTGAAAGTTGTTATTGCATTTTGTTGATCGAACTGGCCAAACTACACGACCATAATGAATGTTAACTATATTGTTTACACACACACACAGTCACGCACACTCACACACACACACACACAGACACGCGCCTGTCGATTTCGTGGAAAAACGCTGCGTATACGTGATGTTTTTTTTTGCTGCTGTCTTTTTGGCTATCTCTTTTTGCTTTTTGCTGCCTTTTTCTTTTCGTTTTTAGCCGCTTTTTTGTTTGGTGGAAAATGTCAGTTTTCAATTTTCGTGCGCTGCAATTTGCCAGACCTGAATTTATTTTTAATTTGCCACTTCAAAACACTCGCCCGTTCGCCTGACACCTGTCCCGAGACATGAGAAGCCGTCAAACGTTCGTGACAAAAAAAAAAAAGAAACAAAACAAATTCGCAGTTGAAGTTATATGAAGGATGCTAAGAAATTCGCAGCCAACTGCGGTTATTGATCTTCAGATCGAAGTTCGCCGAGCAACCATTCACTTGGCTTGAATATTTGCATGTGCTGTGCATATCATAGACACGATCAGAGAAACTTAGAAAAGGTGGAGCTGAAAAGCTGCAAGTGGAAGTTTTCTAACTAGATAGAGAGATTTGATTCAAGAAGGGGACATATATCATTTATATGATAAGTAAACACCCAAGAAGAGGTTCAACATAAATGAAGGCTGCTTCAGATTTCAGTCAAAGCGAGATTTGCTTAAAGCATGATATCATAAATATTGCTGGGGGAAACGTTCTCTGGAAAACTAAAAGAAAACATTTGTGAGAACTTTTCAAAGTTTAAGCTTTGAGCTTAAGAAAAGTTATCTGGAAAAACTTGAAGAACGCAGTCAAATCCAACCAGATGAACCTGCGTGCCTTAGGTGTGTGCGCGTCGGACTACCAAAAGTGAGGTCGCCGGTTCAAATAGCAAATTTTAAATTGTTCTTGGGTTTAACTACGTCATAAATGTTGGAGTTCCTGCGTGCCTTACGTGTCTGCGCGTCGGACTGCCAAAAGAGAGGTCGCCGGTTCGAATAGCAAATTTAAATTTTAATAATTCTCAATTGAATTTAAAACAAACCCTTTTCATTTATATAAGAAAAGAGAGCTGTTTTAAAATAATTTAAGCAAAAACTATTTTCATTTGTGCAATCAAGACAAGACAATCTAAATTAATTAGGGCGAATGCAAAGACGTGTGTGTTGGCAATTGGAGCGGCTTTGTCTGAAGTTGGCGCGAATTACACAAACAATTTCGGACTTGCATTGTTAAGCGTACAACATTTTAACAGCAATACTTGGGCTAATTTCATCAGATCTTACAATATGATAATGAATATGAACTGTTGGACCAGAGAAATATTTGATTAGGTATATTACGGCCTATGAATATATGGACATATTAATATAATACCAAAAGGTATATAAAGAACATAATTTTAAAGCCAAACCAAAAAAAAAAAAATACTACAAGTCAGGCTCAGGGCGTAGATAAGACAGCTTCAGTAGAATTTTACCCAGCTATTAAGCTTGTTTTTGCACTATTTAAATCTTTTGTATTGTATTTGGATTTGATTGTTTTGATGTTTTAAGTTTTTTTTTTGTGTATAGATCAGTAAACTCTGCCGCCGTGGTCCATTGCATCGAACTGTATTGGAGACGGCGATCGATTATTGGGTCAGGCACATGAACAGCTATCTTTGAGTGTGGCCAAACAAAAAGATTTCATTCTGAGCACAGCACAACACGAACAAAAAATAAATAAGTTGGTCAACATTGGCACAACAAGAAATATATAAAAAAAAAACTGTAGAATTGGGAATTTGTGGAGACGCGCGCCGCGTGATGCCGTTAACGAACATTTGTGGCAACTGAAAACTGGGCAGACTGGTCAAAAGAGGCGGCTGGCGAGTTGCCAAGCGACTGACCATTTCACTCGCAGCCGAGCAGAACACCAGAGCACGGCGAGAGAGAATGAGAGAGAGAGCGAGAGAGGGAGAGCGCGACTGGAAGTGAGTGAAAACTGCAGCGGGGCCAAGCGGAGCGTTAAGCTTAAGAGCAGAGTTGCCTACAAAATGAAGCTGAATTCCAGGTGAAAAATAGCTGAAAAAAAAAACTAAAGCAACCGTTATTTGGATACTAATTGGCTTTAAAAAGAGCCGATTTACACAGACATTTTACTGTTTTCGGCTGCTAAGCTCTTAATGTAGTCAAATTCAGCTAGAAAAAGGCTAAATTGGCAACACAGCTTAAGAGCAGAAACATAGCCAGACAAATTGAGTGGTAAATAAGAGTTGATTCGCATAAATATTATAATGTTTTTGGCTGCTCAAGTCTTAAGGTGGCCAAATTTGGCTAGAAAATAGCTAAATTGGCAGCACTGCCTAAGAGAAGCAACACCCAGAAACGAGTAGCGCACCAACAAAGTAGTTTTTCAACCCACCTGTGAGTGTATTTGTATGTGTGTGTGTGTGTGTGTGTGTGTGTGGCTAACTGTTTCGTTCGGCCCAGCTCTCGGGCAGGTTCGGGTTTTGAGCCAAGTTTGGCATTCGACCAGTTTTCACGCATAAAACTGAATTAAATTAAAATAACTTAAGAGATGCATTCAAAGAAAAGCAGAAAAGCAGAAAAAGCTGCCAACTGATAAATGAATGCGCCGCAATGCATGAATGCGAATATGAATGCGAATGCGAATGCGAATGTGAATGTGAATGTGAATCGCAGTCGAGTTGTGCCGAAACGAGTATCACTTGCTGGACAGCTCGTCTAACACGTATATGGTCACACTGACAGACTGAGACCCACTGAGCTTGAACCATGCGTGCAACTATGCGACTGCATTGCCAAACAGCAAGAAGCGCGGAAGGGTGCGGTGCGAAGTTGGCAGAGAAAATAAAAATAGACAGCGATTCGTAAAAGGATTCATGAGGCAGAAGCTTTGCTATGAAGGTCACGAGTAAAACTAAGCCTTAAAAGCTTTCGGAGATAATGTATAAGCTGCGCCAGAAGAGACTTTGCATTAAAAGTAGAACTCATTGAAGGGCGCAAAAGTTGGCTGAGAAATTAAAAAGAGACAGCGATTCGTAAAAGGCTTCAAGGCATGAGCTTTGCTATGAAGATCACGAACACAGCTTAGCTTTAAAAGCTTTCGGAGTTAATGTAAAAGCTGTACGAGAAAAGACTTCAAATTTAAGGTAGCACTCGTTGAAGGGGGAAAAAGTTGGCAGAAAAAATATATAAGCAAGTAAGTCGAGAGCTCCCGACTAGGGGATACCCTGAAATACCTGATACCCTGATTAATTTGTTTGAATGCCAATTGATGGTAGGGATCCATACGCATTCAAAAAGGTATAACATTTTAAAATCAGACATTATTTACCCGAGATATTAAAAAAAATCATCGAAGAAGTTTCGATTTTCGCACCGACCTCGATTTTGAAAAAAAAACGTGATGATTTGGAGTTATGTCGTTTTGGAACGTCATATCTCCGCGCGGAGTTATGTCGTTTTGGAACGTCATATCTCCGCGCGGAGTTATGTCGTTTTGGAACGTCATATCTCCGCGCGGAGTTATGTCGTTTTGGAACGTCATATCTCCGCGCGGAGTTATGTCGTTTTGGAACGTCATATCTCCGCGCGTTTTGTAACGTCATATCTCCGCCTGGAGTTATGTCGTTTTGGAATGCGTTCTAGCATTATAATCCAGATTAATGCTTATTGATAAAGTTAGCTTTAAGCTTATACAAAGTAGCTTTATCTTTAAGCTTAATTCAGCTGATACAAAATACTTTGAACAATGGATTCAAGCTTTGCTTTCATGTAAAGCTTAATTCAATAAATAGCGATATCTTAGCTCTCCCGTATTCAGAAGCGCCCATTGGCTAAGTGACCTTTAAGCTGATAAATGAAATAACTGAGAACTGGATTAAAGCTTTTACTTTTTCTTAAAGCTTAATTCAATTAATGGCGATAGTCTAAAGCTCTCACATATTCAAAAGCGCCCACACGCAAATGATGATAACCGTTTAATAGAAATCAGACTCGGGAAGCATGCGAAACGAAGAGAATAAATAAATGGAGAGAAAGAGAAACTTAAAGAGAAGTAAAACGATAAAAGGCAGATTATTGAGTACCCTGTTAAGCCCCCCTTTGGTAAACTGAGGTCAAGTGTGAACTGTGAACTGTAAACTGTGGAATGTGGATATGGGTGGTTGTGACTCACCTTGCGGTACTCCTGGACAAAGGCGGTGATCATCGTTTGGATGGCGGCGGCGCGTGTGGCATGTAGCGCCAGATGCTTGCCGTTGCGCAGATTGAGCTGGAGGGCGGCGGGCCGAGGCAGGGTGACGGCGTTCTGGATTTCGGCAAAGGATATGGCCTGGACAACGATCAGATAGTCGGCGTCGCGCCGTGCCAAATAGAGGCCGCTATGGGAGACGCCCATGATGGAGACATCCGGATAGAGCGGAGCGCCCTGTACCGCAAACAGACGGGCAAAGTACAGAGGCCAGTCACGGGCCATGTCCACCAGATGACGTTTGACCAAAGCGCGCACCTGCTGCCCGCGGGCAGCCAACGTATCCACGCTGACGCCATGGCCATGGAGCATATTCAGTGCGGCATTCTTCTCCTGCGGCGTGATGCGCAGACATGGCGTCACACCGAACACATCGCTGAGCACCTGGGCGAAGAGCAGATCCAGCGCCACGGGCGGACCAATGGGCTCGTGCGGCTGGAACACCTCCTTGCGTACGCGCAGCTTCCATGGCACCCGATTGTAGGTGAGGCAGGCGCTCGAACCGACGGCGCTGGCGCCCGTCGCAGCCGCCGAGCTGCTCGTCACGGCGGCTGCCGTTGCCGCCACCGACGACGCGGATGTGGGCGTAACGGGCGGCGGTACCGGTGCCGGCACCACTACGGCCGACATGCTCGAGTCCAGCAGATCCTCACGCATACCCGCCGAGCTGGCGGAGCTCTTGCGCTTGCGCTCGTGCTCATATTTCTGGGCCATGTGCGTGCGGAACGTGGCAGGCGTGGAGGCCAGCGCATCTCGATCCCGTTCACGTTCCCGATCCCGCTCTCGATCTCTTTCTCGTTCCCTTTCACGTTCCCTTTCTCGTTCCCTTTCTCGTTCCCTATCTCTTTCCCTTTCGCGGCTCAGCTTGCTGCCTGTGGTGTCCATGCTGGCCTGTATGACGCGCGGCGGCGCCGGCTGGTAGACCTTGTGGCTCTCCTTCTCGCGCTCCACCTGGCGCAGCTCGTAGAGACGCTCACGTTCGCGTTCGCGCTTCTCGCGCTCCTTCTCGCTGCCGCTGCCCGAGGCGGGGCCCTCGACCTCGGCGCGATCCCACACCGATTCCGAGTAATCCTCCCGATCCCGCGAACGACTACGACTGCGTGAGCGCTCCCGTTCCGTTTGCAGCTCCTGCTCCCAGGCGGCAGCGGCGGCCAGGTGCTGCTCCTGCTGGTGGTGCAGCGAATGCTGCTGCTGTTGCTGCTGCTGGAGATGGTGTTGATGGTGCAGCGACTGCTGCTGCTGTTGCTGGAGATGGTGCATCTGACGCACTGCACCAAAGGTGTCGCGCTCTTGGCGCTGTATAAAGGCCGGCACGTGCTCCTTGCGATAGTCCGGCTCTGGCTCTTCGGCATCGGGTGATCCGTGCTGCTGCTGCTGCGCCGGTGGACTCTGTGGCGCTGGCGGCGGTGCGGGCGGCGCCATGCTGGGCGGCCGTATAGGCGGCGGCGGCGCCGGCACATTGGGCGCCGGCGGCAGCAACACGCCCGGCCAGGCGCTGCCAGTTGGCGCCGGCGGCGGCGATAATTTGCCCTCCATGCGCTCGATCTGGGTGCGAACTGTGGCACCGTGCGACTCGACTGCCGGCGCATTGGCGCTGGCAAAGAGCCCGCCCAGCTGCTGCTGTAGCATCAGCTTGCGCGTATCCTCCAGCTTGGCAGGCGCACGCTGCTCCGACTTGTTGGATACGGTGGAGCGCACCGAATGCCCGGCGGTCACCTGCTCGAGACGTTGGCGCATCTCCGAGCTGAGCTTCAGCTTGCCGACGCTGCCCGGCGGCGGTCGATCGGCGCCAATTTCGAAGCTCTTCTTAGCCAGCTTTGTGGCCGTTATTGTGGTCGTTGTCGTGGTCGTCGTCTGCTGCTGCTGCTGCTGCTGGAACTGGAGCTGTGCCGCATCCTGTACATCCCGGCCGGCGCCGCCATTTGTCTCCAGGCGCATGCTGCTGCGCATGAGCTGCATCACGGGCGGCGTCGGACTCTTGCAGGACTCAATCTCGAACTCCTCCCACTCGATGGCCGCAGCGGCGCTGCCGGCGCTGTGCTGCGCCTGCGGCGTCGTCTTGCGCTGCTGCTGGCGCAGCTTGAAGGCGAAGAAGTCCTCCTCCGTTTGGAACTGCGGCTCGCCCTGCGGCGGCGGCCAGCGCCATTTGCCAATGCGCACTGTCTTGGCCCGGCCGTACGGATCCAGGAAGTGGCGCGTCTCCGATGGATCCTTGCTCTCCAGCGGTGGCGGCATCGGCGGCGGCGGCGGCGGAGCCGGTGGCTGCATGCCAGACGCTGCCTCCAGCACCAAAGAGCTGCTCCTCGTCGTTGTCATCATGGTAGTCGTCTTCAAGCGCAGCGGCGACTGAGCCGGCGGCGGCGAGATGCTGCCAATAATAGCAGCCGGCGGTGAACCGCTGCCATTGCTGCCGTTTCCATTGTTATTGTTGTTGTTGGCGCTGGCCTGCTGGCTGAGCAGGGTTTGCAGTGCCTGGTTCTGGGCGAGTAGCTGCTGCTGTATCTGTAGATTCTGTGCCATGGCCGACTGGAGGAAGGCGCGCTGCACCTGCTGCTGGTAAAGAGCGGCTGGCGCGGCATCCGACTCGCCGCCGGGCAGCTGGATGAGCTGATGCAGCAGCGGATCGGCGGCAGCGGCGCCGGCTTGGCTGTGCTCCGTGCTGCCGCCGCCCTTGATGCAGACGACCAGTTGCTGATGCGAGCCGAGCGTATCGAGTGCCTCGTCCAAAGGCAACAGTTCACCCACAAACTGATCCAGATTCTCAGCTTGAACAACTCTTTGGGCGCCTCCTCGTATGCTGGCGGCCAGGGAACGCGCATCGGAGAGCTCGTCCAGTGAGCCATCTAGCACGGGGCTAAATAAATCGTCCAGGAACTGATCCACGTCGGAGGCCTGCGAGGGCACGCGCACGCGCCGCACATGGGAGGCCAGTGAGGGCGCCTCGCTGGTGTCCGACATGGCCGAGGAGCGTGTCGCATATTCCGACTTGTCCATATTGTATTTACTCGAGTGCGCGGAGCCGTGCGAGGCGGCATGCGAACGCCGTCCGGCATGCTGCGACTTCTGATAGCGCGGCGCCGACTCCTTGCCCATCGGCGCCAGCCGCTCCGCCGAATGATAGCGATCGTTCAGTCTACTCTCGGACAGACCCAAGGCGAGCGTGTGCAGCGGCGACTCCTGCGAATCGCTGTCGGGCAACGGTAATTGCTGGCTGCCCATGTCTCCAGCGAGCAGATCGTCCAGCGACTTGGAACGCGACTTGGACTGCGCTCCGGGCAGCAGATGCGGCGTGATGGGCTCCTCAGTGCGTTCGAAGTAGCGCTCGTTCAACGCTGAGCTGCGCGACAGCAGCTCCCGACTGCTGCGTCGTTGCGGCTGTGCCGGCTCCGGCTCTAAATCCCGCTCCCTCTCTCGCTCCCTTTCTCTCTCTCGCTTGCTGGCGGCAGCTGCGTTTGTGGGTGGCGCTGGCGGGGGCACGCCCGGCCGCTTGACAGCCTCGGGCAGGCTGGTGCGCGTAAACTTGGCACCGGAGCGCAGCAGATCGCTGCGCGGCGCCGGAAAGGCGGGGCACAATTCCTTCTCGGCAATCAGATCCATGACATAATCCAGACCGCAGCTGTCCGTCAGCTGCTGGCCATCGTCCAGCACCAAGGTCCAGCCGCGACTGGCCACGCCCAGCGTAGAGACAGCCAAAGCGGCCGCCTCCTCGCAACTGGTCCACGAATCCACAGCCACTGTCTGGCTGGCCTCATCAGGCAGCGTCAGCGGCAGGGCCATATCGCAGCCACGCGCCCAGGCGCGCCACTCCAGCCAGGCGGGCACAAAGCTGCGGCACGAAGCGGCGGCGCCCGACGAGCTGCTCTGCTGGCGCAGCAGCTGGCGCTGCAACAAATGCCGCGTGGCCGGCGCCGGCGCCTCGTCCGTGACAAACTTGAGCAGATACTTGCTGAAAGCCGGACTCGGCTGGAAGCAGCACAGGCACTGGCCCAGCAGCTGCCAGAGGCGCGTGGCCAGCGCCGGTTCGGCGCCGTGCAGCTGATTGCACAGCTGGACAAGAATTTCGTCGCGCAGGCCGCGCGAGCTGAGCGCCTTGTGTACAATATAGTCGGATAGCAGCTTCTCCTTGGCGCCCTCGCCCTCCAGCGCCTTATCGTTGCTCCAGCGCAGAATGAGCTTGAAGACGGCCAGCGCATCCTGAAAGTCCTGATCGCGCGAAGCGGCGCGTGTCAGCAGAGGCGCCGTTATGGGTTCACGACGCGGCTGCAGCCGCAGCCCGTTGCAATAGACGCTGCTAAATTTGCCAAAGCTGAATTGGGCCAGATCCGGTGGCAGCTGAGCGCTGGCAGCGGGCGGACCGGGCACCGTACCCAGCACCTTGACCAGATGACGATCGCTGTGTGGCGGCTGCCAGCCCTGCAGCTTCGAGTAGATGAACGCCAGCTCGGCGGGTATGTCCAGATAGCTGAGCTGGCTGCGCTCCAGCACCGCCTGTTTGGCCTCGCGTGCCTCGCGAGCCCGCTGCGCTGCCTCGCGTGCCTCCTGGCGCCGGCGATGATCGGAGCGCAGCTGCTGCACACGCCGTCGCGCCAGCTTGCCGCGCCACAGCCGCTGGGCGGTGCGCACACCGCGACGCAGCTGCTCGTAACGCTGCTGCTGCCGTTGGCCGCGCCAGCGTGCCTGCAACCGTGTGGCCGCCGTCTGGCGTCGGGCCAGCTGGCGGCGGACGAGCATGCCGCGCACATGCCGCTGTATATGGACGGCAGCCTGGCGCAGACGTTCCGTGCGTCCGCTCTCGAGTGCGCGATGCAGTGCCTCGCGCAGAAAGACGCGCGTGGCGCCCAGCTGATAGTCGGGTCCCTCGACGCCCGTGCGCGGCATTGCCTCCAGCAGCAGGCGGCACAGTTCGCGATAGGGTGTGCCCCGTGCCAGCGGCGCGCTCAACAAATGCCGATAGCGCTCGACGAAATGCTGGAAGCGCAAACGCACCGGATAGCCGCGTTGGCGTATCTGTATGGTATCCAGCATGCCCAGATAGCGTAGCTGCTGCAGCACACAGGGCATGTCCATGCGCAGCGGCTGCTTCTCCTGATTGGGCTTGATGCAGCGCACAAACCACGGATGACAGCGGCCCATCGACTGCAACAGCTGCTGCAGTGAGTCCGCAAAGCGTGCGGCCACCGTCGGTGTGCGCGGCTTCATGGTGACAAAGCGTCCGTTGCTGCCCTTGGGCAGGGTCTTGCCGGCGTCGCGTTGGGCGCGCAGCTGTTTGGTCAACTCGCTGACCAGTGGCAGCCGGCTGGTGGCCAGCAGTTCGAGCACATCGCTGCGCAGCGCATCGCGATTCTTATCCAGAAAGCCATCCACACAATACCACACCTGACCGGCATAATGGGTCACACCGAACTCCTGGGCGCCAATGCGCGGCCGCGCATATAGCTCGCTGAGCGCATGATTATAGTGGCACTTCTCGAGGAAACTCAGATCGGTGGCACGCGGAAAATTGGACTCGTCGTCGAGCAGATGGCAAATGCCGACCGGTTTCTTGGCCAGCAGATGGATCACTGGCAGATTGTCGTCCCAGGCGAGGGGCGTCCACTCGAGGCGTTCGCGCGCATACTCGGCCTGCTCGAGCTTGAAGACATGCTTGTTGAAGTACAGCTGCAGGTTCTCATTGGCATAGTTGATGCACAGCTGCTCGAAGCTGTTCTCGGCCAGATCCTCGAAGCCAAAGATGTCCAGTATGCTGATGCGATGGGCATCATGGGTGCCGCCCTTCTGCACAATCGAATTGATGCGCGAGACGAGCCAATTGAAGAGGCCCGCATACAGGGCCTTGGCGAAGGCATCGCGGGCATCCAGCGCCTGGTCAATGCCGAGCGGCGTGTGCAGGCGTTCGGCGCGTGCCTCGGTCGTCCGGCTGGTCAGAGCACGATGCATGCCCTCGGCGCTGATGTGCAGCAAATGGGCGGCCCATTTGATTTCGGCATCGGAGCCGATCTCGACGCCCTCCTGGCCGTGACGCAGCTGCCGACGATGGAAGTAGACGTTGCCCAGATGCAGCACAGCCGCCAGCACACGGACAATGCCCTCGCGTTCGCCCTCGGTAACGCCGAGCACCTGCATGGCACTGAGCAGGGAGGCCCAGTCGACCCGACCACTGGCACAGTCGGTGGCGCCCTGATTCAGATAGAAGTACTTGTCCGCCTCGAGCAGACCGTATTTGGCGCGCTCCGATTCGCTGAGGCCGCCGAGCATCTCATAGAAGACATGATAGTTGCGCTCGCCGGGCGCCTGGGTGACAATGCGCGACTTCTCCAGCAGATATTGGGTTATCTTGGCGCCGACAATGGCGCCGCTCTTGAAGTACACCTCCAGATACTTGCCGAACCGGGAGCTGTTGTCGTTGCGTGCGGTCCGTGCATTGCCGAACGCCTCGAGCAGCGGCGCCGCCTCCAATATTTGCTCCGTGATGACAGCCGAGGCGCTGCCGCCGCCGGGCACCACCGCCGCCAGATATTGCATGACAAGCTTCGTGGACTCCGTCTTGCCGGAGCCCGATTCGCCCGATATGACGACCACCTGGGGCGAGGGCAGGGCGGCATGCGCCGCCGCTCCAATGGCAAACAGATGCGGTGGCAGGGCACCCAGCGGACGGCCCGCGTACTGCTTGGCCACCTCCAGGCCGTAGGCGTCGGGAAACATCTTGTAGGGATTGACCGCGATCAGTATGCTGCCCGCGAACGTATAGATGAGACCCTTGTCGTAGCGCAATCGCAAATTCCATAGCAGCGACGCCTCGTGCAGATCGTCCAGCAGGGTCATGTCCTCCACTCCGCTGCTGCCCAGATCCTGACGCGCTCGCAGGCTGCCCTCGCCCGGCTGCAGGGCAAACGTTTGTGCCTGTCATTCAAAAGAGATTCAATTAGTTAAGTTCAAGCTGTTGGTTCAAATTGTGTTCGGATTGCGGGCCTAAGAGACGTCAACCTATCTTAACAAAGGAAGGAAACCTTTTGCTAACTCATCAACCCATCACGGGCATTAGGGAAGAGAATGTTCAGTCTTCTAAAGAGTACGGATCATTCCATTCGAAGGAGTTGTCTGCCTTCTGTAGCTAACCTGATGTCTAAAGCGCCGACCAAGAAGTTAGTCAAAAAAAACACACTCAATAGAAGCCAGCTTCAGTACCATCTTCCATATTTTCCATAGAAGAAGTCTACCCTAACTGGTCTTTCAGCTTGAATTATATTTGGATAAGTCCGGCTGAAGATAAATGCTGAGAGTAAGATCCAATCGATTTTTATGAGAATATCGAATTGAGAACCGGACAAGTCGACAATTTGTGACAGGGATTAATTGGATTTGCGGTTTGGCTTGGCTCACATGGCGGGCTATCACATCGCTGCAGAGCGTCGAGAGCCGCTTGACCACCTGAGGATAGCGGCACTTGAGGCGACGCTGGCGACGCAGCAGCAGCTGCTGCTGTTGCTGTGGCGACTGCTGGGCAAAGATTTCGTCCAGATCCTCGAGACTAGCCGGACGCTGGCGGCGCAGCACGTGCGGCGATAGCAGAGCCAGCGATGGCGACTGCGCCGGACTGGGCGTCACTGAGCCGCAGCCGCTGCCCCGCTGCCACGGCTCCAGATGGAAGCGTACGATCCGCATCTAACGGTACTAGTTGAGCACCAAGAACCGAGATTCGATGCAAGAAAAACCGGACGTTAACCAAAAACAACAATGGCGCCGGAGACGTTATTGGCCGCCGTCTCGAATGCAACTGAAAGGAGTCAAGCGGAGCTGGGCCAATAGCCGCCACATTGCCACAGTTTTCCCCCAGTATGCGTTTTCCCCTGCCTCCCCCCCCCCCCCCTTGTCGCCTCTGCTCAAGCGCCTAAACGTTTTCTTAAGGCAATCGATTGAAACACGTTTCTGTTTCTATTTCGACCGAAAGTGGGGGTAGCACGCGGCCCAAAGATGACACTCCTCCCGGCAGACGGGTAGCCAGTTTTGGAGAACGAGAGAACAACGGGTAACGGCCAGACAAGACTTGCGCAAGAGAAACCTGTCGCATGGCTTTGACTTTGATCTCGCGCTGCCCGATCTTTGTGATCTCAATTCAATTAAGAGAAGAACAACTCTCTCTCTGACTGTCGAGAGAGCGCCACTTTCTCCGAGCCAAGCCAGAAACAGTTCAAGTTGTATTCTTTGTCTTTCAAATCCGCTGCAGCAACGCGTGCAGCGTATCGATTATTATTGCCCGAAATTAATCTACTAATCAAAATTAAAGTCCCAAGCTAACTCTTGACCTTTAATCCAATCAAATAAACATTTACCAACTTATCTTCTAAGTATAGATAGCTGAAAGAGCTGTATACTCTAAGTCGGGACATTTATCGAATATTCGATTAGCTAAAAGGCGTTATTCTCGAATTATCGATTGCATTAAAAGCTACTCGACAAGCTTTGCATAAAGTATTTCAGGTTTAAGGTAATTGTATTTGACTTGAATGATAGCTTTCTAATTATATCTTAAAATTATTCGATTAATCGATTGATTGAAAAGCTTGCCTTTAGTAGCTTCTTTTATCGAAATATCGATTGCATTATAAACTATCGGATAAGCGGGGTTTACAAAGTTTTGAGGTTGTATTTCACCTGAATGAATATCGATTATCGCAAGATGCAGCTAAGACCAAACGTAATTACTTTAGTGTAAACACAATTAAGTTCTTTTAAGGCTCACAGGCGCTTTTAAAGCTCCTCTCGCACATCTAATTACTTCAATGTAAACACAATTAAGCTGTCTCAAAGCTTTCAGGCGCTTTCAAAGCTTCTCTCGCACAGCTAATTGCCGGTCAGGCTTACGCAGGGGGCCTGCCCCAGTTCATGTTACCCAACTGAAACGTTTTTTTCTTCTGGCTAACTGGCCAACAATTGGTCAGACGATGCGACGATTAAATTGAACAGGATACACAGAATACTGGTTGCGAGCAGTGTACACCATTTCAGCTTTTTTCTGGCTAAATTTAGCTACAGGCAGAGGTCAGCAGCCAGAAACTGCTGACATTTGCAAGTGCCTGCCAACTATGGCTAGTTTTTAAATGGATTTCAGCTATTCTTTTTAGCTTTTTAACATTAACATTTGCTGCCCAATGCGGTCTATTAGCTGATGCACCAATTCAGCAACAGCTGGCAACACTGGCGACAAGTAGAAGCATGCGAGCCAGTTTGGGTATTTGTATTCTTGATTTCTTAGCTGGCGCTTAGGGGGCAACAACTGCAACTGAAACTGGCAACTGACAACTGGCAACTGGCAGCGGCAACGGCATCGGTAACTGTTACCAGTTATTAGCCAAAGCCTCGGGCCGAGCGACTCTTGCTGCTGTTGACTGGCAGGCTTAATTGCAAAGGAAAAAGGAAACGGAGTCGAGCAGAAGTCGCTGCCGGCGCTGGGCAATTAGAGAGCCGGCGACTGCCAGAGATCGGTGCAGCATACAAAACACTTCCGTTGCAGCACAAAATTGGCCAACAGTTGCCTGCCAAGTGGCCCAACTACCCAAGTGGCCAGTTGCCAGTGGCATGCGATGAATGCCAAGTGCTGCCAACTGCCAAAAACAAAAGCGATTTGCCCAGTTGCCGCATTGTCATCTATTTCTTTTCGCTGACAGGTGAAAATAGTGAAAAGCTGTCATAAAAAAGCTGTTGGCTAAAGCGGCCCTTGACAAGTGCCAAAACAGAAGGTATGCTCAACCAAGAGACACCCTGTGTTGATGACTGTGCTTTACTCTTTCCCTTAGCTTTCCACTATCCAACATTTATTTTAGTCTATTAGTCTTTAAATATTTTCGTGTAGTTTTCTTAGGTCCGCAATCGAAACACTGACTGCCAAAAGTTAGTGCCAAAAACCAAGATTTACTCGACCAGCAGATTCCCTGCTTTTATGTGCCTTTCGCTTTCCCTTAGCTTTCAACTATCCAACATATATTCTTAGGTCCACAATCGAAACACTGACTGCCAGAAGTTAACACTCACCTTGCCCTTGATCATGGCCTGAACGACAATCACTTGCGCTGCGCGATGCACCTCCTGAATCTCACCGGGTATGGGATGACCCACGCCCGGATCGAACCAAACCAGATCCCCTTCGGCCCAGTCCATTGCGTCCAACTTGGCTCTTACCCGACCGTATGCGTTCAGTTGATCAGCTCCAACTTTTCCAACCAACTATTTGCAATTATTAATAATTTGTCTTTCTTCTCCAAGCGCTGAGCGGGAGCAAGTACTGGGGAATTGTGGGGCTGGCTTCAACTTCAAGCTGCCGGCTGATGCATTGCTGTAAATAAAAATAAATTAGAAAAAAAAAAACATTTGATTAGTCAAGACATTGATTCACACAGAAAAAAGCTGAGCCACAAAAAAAAAAAAAAAAAAAAACATCAGACCATAAAAAATGCACGTAATTATTTCGCCTCTCTATAAAATAAAAAGTCGCTGCCTTTGGCTTATCAAAAACCTCGCTCGCCTCCCTACACCCCACACACACACACACACACAGGTGATTGTCATTGTCACTCGCAGGTGTATTTGTGTATTTGTGTGTGTGCTTGTGTGTTTGTGTGTGAGACAGGAGACAAAGTTGTCAACGTTTAGGAGGGGGGGGCTTGCGGGCCGCGGTGCTGACGGCTGAAGGCCGTGCACTGCCTGCGCTCATTGAATGAAAGTAAGTTTTTTTTTTCTTTTCTCTTCACTTTGCTTTCCAGCTTATTATTACAATTATTATTTATATTTTTTTTGTTGTTGTTTTTTTTTCTGTTTTTCTTCTTTAGAAATGCAATTAAACGCAACGGCAAAGTTCATACGTTTTGACAGCAACAATTGTTTAGCCAAAAGGTCAGACGATTAAGGTTGCATCTGGTTATGTATAAATGGGCATTCCAGATCCAGTCAAAACCTGTAGAGGCGCGAAAGAAGAGCTACCTTTAATAATGCTCTAATGCCCATATCTAAGAAGCACAGGGAAAAAGGTTAACGCCGAGCATGTTTCAGATAGCTCGACTTGGCTTTTCATACTGATCAAGAATATACTTATATACTTTATGGGCTGGTAGGTTTTTGTTGTCCTTTGTGTGCCTTACACATTTCGCGACACAATTAGAATAGCCTCTGCAAGAAGTAAGAGTGCTCGACTAGTAGATACCCTGCATCCACGTCTACCATCAGCATATGTAAGATACTCAATTTGTTTACACTATTCCATGTCAAATTAAAACCAACGAGATTTGCTCGAAAAACAGAATTTCGATATCGATTTTTATCGATCGCTTGGCAACTCGGCAGGTTATCGATTAGACTAGAAGATACCCTATAAGCAGCGACAAGTTGCCATTAGAAATATTCGTTTTTTGTGCTGAAATCGATCTGATCTCTACCAAGCGAATGAATAAGGGACGAATATTCTAGCTCCTTTGTTTAAAGTGCGATAATTATACAAGTTTTGGAACTCAAATAAGGCATATTTAGGTTATCATATGCTTGAACGCAAGTCTCTTGTGATTCTTTTGCAATTTTGTGGGCATATTTTTGTTCTGTGTATACTATGCGAGAAAGAGCTCAGATGCCTCTCTCTAATTGGCCTAGAGTCCTGCTGTGAGTTTCTGTGGTAGCATCCTATCTCTGGAAGAGGAATCAGAGAACCAAGCTCTGATGCTCCTTGAACTCTAGAACTAGAAATTTCCAAAGAGCTGTCAGCTAGTTGCCTGCATGAAAGGGTCGTCTACACAGACAAGTCTTTACAAAATGCGACTGTACCCTGACATTCGACATTGATTGTACTTGAAGAAAGACCAAATAGCTATTCACAACAACACTTGCTCCGCAAGGAGGACACATCTGGGCTAAGAGTTTGTGCCCGCAGTTTAGAGCAGCACATCAGAGGCAGCAGACTGAGCCTTCAATTATATTAGTTATATTATAATACTATTACCTATTTTCTTGTATTATATTAGTTTGAGGAAATCCCCGAATTTACATATTGATGAAGCTCAAGACAAATCTGTTTGTCAATGCCGCTTCTAGAGATAACTTTCCACACAGTTTTTTATTTTTAGAATTCGCTTTCACCTTCAGTTCGTTTCAGAATTGAGCATTTGGCCCAGATGCAAAAAAAAAAAAAACTAATTAAAAGCGTAGAAGAAGAACAAAAACATTTGATTAAAATTGATTTGACGAACAAAGCGCCAAAAGAGGCGAATTCGGCTTTAAATTTGGAAATTGTTCGCAAAATTCATAAATAAATAATATGAAAAATGCGGCCGCCCAAAAAAAAAAAAATGCTGCTCAAGAATATTAAGCAGCCATGGCCAAAAGCGAGACACACACACACACACACACACCCTTGTTGTTGTTGTTGTTGTTTGTTGTGATTGTTGCTCGGTGGCTGATTACCATTGGCGAGACAAACTTTCACCTGTTTAGCGGCAAAAGCCTTTAACATAAATATTTATGCCCAAAAAAACAGCAAGAAAAGCTGCTGCTGTTGTTGTTGTTGTAATTTTAATGCATGTGGCAAAGAAATGCGCGCACTCGCACTGAATTTGGCTTGGGATTTGGTTTTGGTTTTGGGTTTGGCTATGGGCTTGGGCTTGGGCTTGGGTTTGGCTTGAGCTTCGCTTTTGGTGTAGGCCAAACAAATTCGTGCTAAATGGCTGGACAAGTGCTTACGAATTGACAAAGTCAATACAAAGGCGGGTGTGTATGTGAGAGTGTGTGTGTGTGCGGTAGGGGGTGCGGAGGGTTGGTGTTGCGAGAGACAACTCGTTTAGCGCGCCGCATTTAACAAGATAAAACAAGCAAGCGTGCTCTTGCAAACGACTTGCAGATACCCTGGACACAGCGCAAACTTTGCAGCTTCCTTCTGTGCATATCAAAAACAACTGTGCTACTCTTAGCCTTCGGTCCACACTATTTATGGCAAAGAAATTGTTAAAAAGTGTTTACGAACTGATTTTTATACAATATTTGGGTCTTAGGTCTAGCATACAAAGGTTTTTCAAATTATTATTATTTTAATTATTATTTATTATTTTTTATTAAAACCTAATACCCTTCCAGGGTATAAAAGCGCGCAGTAAGTAACTGTGAGACGGGCCCCGTGTACAATGTGGCAGCTACCGCTCATTCATTCATTCATTCAACCAGTTAGTCAGTCAGTCAGTGAGTCAGTCTCGCTCCCCCCCTCTCTCTCTCGCTCTCGCTCTCCCTCTCTCTGTCTCTATCTCGCTCTCTCACGCACACAAACACTGGCTCTCTTTTGGGCTCTACGACAAATAACAAATCTTGGCTTGGCAACGAGTCGAGTTCGACCGCATTCCAATGCTAAGACGTCGCTGCCCGAGCGCTTGCCTGCAGCCGCTGTCGATGTGGATGTCGATGCCGATGTCGATGTCGATGTCGATGTCTATGCTACAACAGCAACAAGCACAGCACGTAGAATAGAAACAATTTAATGGAGGTTTTCATGTGTAATCAATGAGCGGCAGCTGTGCAGCATTTGCAAATTGAGTGTGAACAAAAAATGCGAAATACAAGAATCCAAAGTATGCCAAAACAAAAACGAGAAAAAATCACATAAAAAACACGTAAGAAAACGCGTTGAACTTTTCAAATTATTGAAGCGCAATATTTTGTTCTGCAATTAATAACTATTAATAAGTATGACACATTATTTATCGCATCATATGCTAAGATTCTTCAGCTACGAAAAAGTTCACAGTCGAAATGTTTGTTCAAGTTCGACTTATATCTAATATATCTTCACTATAAGCCGTAGCTAGGTTCAAAATTGATCAATTGAACCACTTTGAACTAGTTCACAGGCTTGCCAAATATACCAAATCCCAACATCTTTGCTTGCAGCACTTTTGTGAGCTATTCTTAGGCCGAACATAAATCAATTGAATATTATATCTACATTCTGAATAGATGTATGTAATTCATTGTGAACCAGTTCCAGTTCCAGTTCACATTTCGTTCAAAATGCAAATGAGGGCGTGGCCTGATGCTAAGCCCTTTAAACTCCGACTGACTTCGTCGGCTGACCTGGCTAAGCAACATGTTGCCCGGGTTCAAGGTTTTCAGTTGGGATCAAAAATGTCTTTCCCCCCCCCCCCCCCCCCCCCCCCCCTCCAGCATACATTTCCCCCTCTTTGGCTGCTGACTGCCTTTAATCTGGTTAGGTGTAGCCAGTTAAGATGTGCTGCCCAAACAAAGTTCGTTGTTCAAGTCTTTTATATTTGTCACCAAGTTCGTTGCCTGAGTCTTTCGATTTACTTGTTTGTTTTTTAGAGATTTTCGTATGCATTTTCAAACCTGTCGCTTTTCCCATGACCAAATGCGCTAAAAATTTCCTTACAATTTCGTTGTTAAGCGCATTTACGGTGTGATTGTGTGTGTGTGTGTGTGTGTGTGTGTGAGCGTGCGATGTGTCATAAATCTGTGTTTTCTGAGACGAAGCATTTGATACAAAACTCTGAACCGCACCTGCACAAATGTTTAGCTTAAACTGACACAGGTGTGTGTATCAACGTGTGTGTGTGTGTGTGTGTGTTAGAGCGAGTTTCTAGTTTTCGACTTTGTTGTTGTTAAATTGATTTTCATGCCAGATTCTTGGCATAGCTCGGACCGCAGCCAGCTGCCAGTTCGCAGTCCCTTGGCACATCAAGTCTATTTTTATGTTTTACGTGGCGTTTACCCTGTAGGTATGTCAGCCACGTGACATATGGAACTGTGCGCCAAAGCAATGCGCCAAGCTAGCGACCCAACAAAGAGACTCTTGATGTTCCCTCATTGATGGCAGAGCAAGCTCCAGCAAGAGGAGGGAGGAGCTCCGATTGGGCTAGCCTGGACACTAGCTAATGCTCTCGGTTGTGTCCAATGACAAGCATGCCTTGACTTATGCCATTTGGGGCTCGTCTTGGCAGCAAGAACTTCAAGAACTTAACCCTTCCAACCCCCGTTGGGGCTAGTTACCAGGGCTGCACACAATTGGGATTCATTTTAGCTACGAGTCCAGACTTGGGAACTATGCCATTTGTTGCTGCACTTCTACATTGGTTTATTGAACCCCAACTCTGGGCACAGCACATTCGCATAATTCGATGCGCTGCATTTTGATTAGGTGCGGGCGAGTGTGTGCGGCTTGCGTGGAGCAACATGCCACATTTGGCGGCATGGCTGCATTCGGCGTTTGTATGTAACCTACGCAGCAAACACAGCGGGGCGCAGTCGCGAGCACGCCAAGTGAAACTCTTGACAAGACCATAGATCCGCAGAGAT